GGGTGATTAGTGTCTGTTTTCTCTTAGGCAATGAGTAACCTGGATGTGATCTTCAAGATTCCCCTGCCCAGAGGGGGTCTTATCCTTCCGTTGTCTTTCCCATGGCGCTAAGCACAGAGTTCAGAGTCCACTGGAGAAGTGGCTGAGCCCGATCAGCATGGACAGGCCTCAGATGGAGTCCAGGCCCTATGAGTTCCTTCTTCAATCACTTCATGGCAAATAGAAGGAGAAATAGTGGAAACAACAACATATTATTTTCTTGGGCTCCAAATCACTGTGAACAGTGACTGCATCCATGAAATTAAAAGATACTTGTTCCTTGGAAGGAAAGCTATGATGAACCTAGACAGCATATTAAAAACAGACATCACTTTGTTCACAAAGGTGTGTATAGTCAATGCCATGGTTTTTCCAGTAGTCATGTACAGATGTGAGAGTTGGACCATAAAGAAGCTGAATGCTGAAGAATTAATACTTTTGAATTGTGGTGCTAAAGAAGACTCTTGAGAGTTCCTTGGACTGCAAGGAGATCAAAACAGTCAATCCTAAAGGAAATCAAGCCTGAATATTCATTTGAAGGAATGATGCTGAAGTTGAAGCTCCAAATACTTTGGCCACCTGATACAAAGAGCCAACTCACTTGAAAAGACCCCAATCCTGGGAAAGATTGAGGACAGAAGGAGAAGTGAGAGGCAGAGGATGAGATGATTAGATGGCATCACCGACTCAATGGACATGAGTTTAAGCAAACTTGGGGAGATGGTGAAGGACAGGGAAGCCTGGCGATCTGCAGTCCATGGGGTCACAAAGAGTCAGACTTTACTTAGAGACTGACAACAATTTTTGATGGTTTCATCTTATTAGGCTGGAAACAAACCTTAGATGTAAAGCAGGGGGAAGATAATATTCTATCTTGGTGGGGGGAAAAAAAGTACACTTTGGAGGGCAGTCCCGAGATGGCAGAGGAATAGGACAGGGAGACCACTTTCTCCCCCACAAATTCATCTAAAGATCATTTGAACGCTGAGCGACTTCCACAAAACAACTTCTGAATGCTGGCAGAGAACACCAGGCACCCAGAAAGACAGCCCATTCTCTTCCAAAGGAGGTAGGACAATTTTTAAAAGACATAAAGAGAGTAAAAGAGTTAGGGATGATGGAGACCCATCCTGGGGAGGGAATCTTGAAGGAGGAGAAGTTTCCACACAGCAGGAAACTCTTTCACCGGCAGATCTGTGGGGAGTTTTGGAATCTCAGAGGGCAACATAACCGGGAGGAAAAAACAAAACAAAACACAGAGTATGCTCCTAACCACAACTGCAAGCAGAGAAGTAGCCCAGATGTTCGCCTCTGCCACCAGCAAGTGGGGGCTAGACAGGGAGGTGCGGGCTGCATGCTTAGGATAAGGACTGGGCCTGAATGCCCTGAGGACAACCTGAGGGAGCTTAGGTGAGATAGCAACCCAAACTGTGAGATAGCCAGAGAGAAAAAAAAAAGACAGAACTTTCCAGCAAAAGGCTCTAACCTGATGTGCAACCTGGCCCTCTCACAGAACAAAGGATTGAGGGAACACCAAAGGAAAGCTAGCCACCAGCATACAGGTCCCTCCCCCACCACTGGAGGCAGAGGCGCAGACGAGCCACAGCCAGAGTTGGAAGGCAAGGGGCAATCTTGGCCCCAGCGATGGCACCTTCCACCAAACTGTGAGCAGGCTCCCAGCTGCTAACCATGTCTTCCTGGGATCCTGGATGGTTGACATCCACCAGGAGGGCCGTAGCCTGAGATCAGCTCTCCAGAGCAGACACAGGGCACATCTGAGACAGTGTTCCCCGGGGGGTGGGGAGCCGGCAGAGTGTCTGGGACTGGGGAGGTGATTAAGATGCCCGGCCCACCTAGGACAGTGCACTCACCAAGCACCTGGTTCGCTGAGCTGCTTGGACCTGGGAAGGGCACAAAACGCATGCTCAGCTGAATCTGTGCCCTTGTGGAGTACCCAAGAAACTAAACCTGAGCAGCTTAGACCCGGAAAGTGCACGAAATGCAGGCCTGCTTTGGACAGCTCCCCTGCAGAGCAACCTGGAGCCTGGGCAGTGGTGTAGACCCAGAAAACACATGCCGCTGTGAGCTGGGGCACACTCATGTGTGGTCCATACACTGCAGGCACTCCCAACACATGCCAGCTCTATTTGTTTGTAGTGTTCATCCCTCCCCACAACACAACTGAAAAAGTAAGCCTAAACAAAGTGACCACCTTCGTCCCCTTGTGTCCGGGCAGAAATTAGGCACTGAAGGGACTTGCAAAGAGAGGAAGCCAAAATAAACTGTCACGCGAGTGTATGCTCCTCGGGTCTTTGTCTTGTCACAACAAAAATTTGGAGTGACAGACATTGAAGCTCTTTGGTGGGTCACAGCTCTCGGAGGACAGACCGTGTTATAGCTCTTAAATAAATCAGTGTTACACCTCTATTTATTTAGATAATAGCAGGAAAATCCATCTTTGAGGCATGAGGGCACGTCGATCCAAAGACGCAAAGAAAAGAGTGCCCCATCGCACGGGGGTGGGGGGAGAGAGAGAGAGATAGAGAGAAGAGAGAGGAGAGAGAGAGAGAAGAGGGCTTTGACTTCTCTTTTTATGTTTTTTTGTTCCCCCTGGGCCTATCCTATGCAAATTGGGCTTAGGCAGAAGCGTTGTTTGTTTTACCTGAAGTTCTCACTCCGGTCCTTGGGCCTTTCTTTGTTCTATTTTTGAGGTCTTTTAGCCACCGCCATTTTGGATTCCTTATCCCTATTCTAACTACCTAACATTCCCCCCTCAAGAGATGGGAGGCCCAATCCTTTGGGGATAGGGGCATCAAGGTCTCTCTGGCTACTTCCTGCTGAACTGGGACGGCAAGGGGCATTGGGCCTCACCCTCTTGCTAATCTCAGGCCTCAGAGTCCTTACAGTGGTGTCCGTCTAAGGGTGACTGATGTTTTCCGTGGTTGGCTGTAGTTTTATATCTTTGTTGAACTGGCACTGCATGTCGTAGCTTGGCCTGGGCAGAGACAAGACAAGTTAGACAACTGACAGTATATGGAACAGTCATTAGCAGCATCAGTATGGCATAACAAGGACTAGTAGGGGCATTAGCCAATTTTAAATTTACATCACCAGGATGGCTCAAGTCCCTCCTTGTCCAGAGATCAGAAGATCTACTCCTTGTCTGTTTTGGAGTATTATCCCTGCCAAGCTGTGTTGGCTCTTTAGAGCTGTCTTGAGAAATATTATCCCCAGAGACCAGATTTTGGGGTTGTTTATTAGAAGGGCACTCATTTGTAGTTCTGAATAGGTATCTGAGATCTCCCAGGGGCTCACAGGTGTATTGAGTGTCCTTTTCTGTTTTCTTCCATGGCTTGACTCATGAGTAGTGAACCCAGGAGTCATGTCCTGGCACATTGACCGCTGTGGGAATAGAAAGTATTACAGGGTAGGGGCCCTTCTGTGTGGGCTGGAGTTGAGCCTTTGGGGACCCATCTTTCCAGACTTTAATTAGGACTTCAGTCCCTGGAGCATATAGTGGTGACTCCTTGGAGTCTTTTGGGTCCTGGCTCATACCCCACAAATATATATCCTGTTGGAATTGTCCAATGGCCATGGTATAAGACTGGAGAGTCTGAGCCTCTGGATCTAGGAAGAGGTCATTGACATAAACAAAAGGTATCCCATATAGCATCTCATAGGGACTAAAACCAACCTGTTCCTTAGGGGCAGTACGGGTATGGAGGAGAGCTATTGGTAAAGCCTCCTTCCATCCCAGGGAGGTCTCTTGGGTTATCTTTTTTATCGCTGATTTTAAGAATTGGTTGGCTCTTTCTACTTTTCCTGAAGACTGAGGCCTCCAGGCACAATGGAGATATTAAGTAATGCCCAATTCTTTACAGACTCCTTGAACCATCTTAGAGGTAAATGATGTCCCATTGTCACTTTGTAATGACCTGGGCAGACCAAACCTTGGAATGATTTCATGGAGCAGTTTTTTTTACTACCTCCTCAGTCTTCTCAGTTTGGGTGGGAAAGCCTTCAATCCACCCTGTGAATGTATCTATCATGACTAATAGGTATTTACACCCTTGAGAAACTGGCATCTGGGTGAAGTCCATCTGCCAGTCCTCTCCTGGATAGGCCCCATGTTGTTGGACGGGCTGGGCCAGCTGGGGTCTTTGAGCTCCTTGGGGGTTGTTTAATTGGCAAGTGGGACAAGAGGAGACCACTTGTCTTATAGTTGTTTGGAAGCCTGTTCCTCTGAAAGACCTTTCTAGTAATCTTTGGAGGGCATTTTCTCCTAAATGAGTGGTGGCGTGTAAGGAGTTAACCAACTTCCATTGGAGGTTCCCAGGCAGAAAAAGGAGCCCCTTCTTTTGGAACCACCCCATATGATCTTCTTGAAAGCCCTCACTCTTAGCTTTAAGAGTTTCACCTTCAGTATATGAAGGAGTTTCTGGCAAGTTAGTCTGTGGAACTAGGGTGGCAACCCCTATTAGGTCATGGTTCTGTAACGCTGCTCTCTTAGCTGCCTGATTGGCTGCTTGGTTCCCTCGTGCCACTTCAGTGCTCCCTTTTTGGTGTCCTTTACAGTGGGAGACTGAAACCTCAGTGGGCAGATGGACTGCCTCTAAGAGTCTAAGGATTTGATCACCATATTTGATTGGGGACCCTTGGGTGGTCAAGTGGCCCCTTTCTTTCCAAATAGCTGCATGTGCATGTAGCACCAGAAAGGCATACTTGGAGCCAGTGTAAATGGCTATTCTTTTTCCTTTTCCCAGCTCTAGAGCTCGAGTCAGGGCTATGAGCTCAGCTAATTGGGCTGAAGTACCTGGTGGCAGAGGCTTAGCCTCTATGATCTCAAAATTGGAGACTACTGCTTATCTGGCTCTTCTTTTTCCATCCAAGACAAAGATGCTTCCATCAGTGTACCAGATTTCTTCAGGACTGATCAGAGGATCTTCTGACAATCCCTCTCGGGGTTTTGTCCAGTGGTCCAAGGTTTCTAGACAGGAGTGAAAGGGGAGAGAGCCCTCAGGGGTAGGCAGGAGGGTGGCTGGGTTAAGAATCTCACAAGAGGATATAGTGAGGCCTGGATTTTCCATCAGTATTACTTGATATCTGAGGATTCTTTGATCAGACATCCATAAATGGACTCTCCCATTTAGGAGTTGTTTTACTTGGTGGCTGGTAAAAATAGTTAGTTTGCCTCCAACGGAGAGTTTTAAAGCATCTTCTATCATGATTGCAATAGCTGCAAGATTTTGAAGGCGGCGGGGGGGGGGGGGGGGGGGGGGCCAGCCTTGGGCGGTTGGATCAAGTCTCTTGGATAAGTAAGCTACAGGCTGGGGCTCAGATCCCAACCTTTGAGTTAACACTCCCAAGGCTATTCCCTCTCTTTCATGGACATAAAGTTGGAATGCTTTTTTGGGATCTGGCAACCTCAAAGCAGGTGCCTGAGTTAAGGCCTGTTTTAGTGTAGCCTCTGCCTTCTTTTGAGGAGTTCCCCACATTAGTGGGATTGAATCATCTCGTCCTTTTAAGCTTTTATATAAGGCTGGGCAATTAGACCATACTTGGGTATCCAGATTCTACAGTACCCAGTCAGCCCCAGGAAAGCTCGCAATTGTTTTTGAGTTGTGGGGGAGGGCAACTGGAGGATTCCTTGTACCCGGTCAGAGGACAGCCTCCTGGACCCATGTGAAATCTGAACTCCCAGGTAAGTGACATATGTCTCGACCATCTGTGCCTTAGCACGGGAGACTTTATATCCCCTTTCTGCCAAAAAGTTTAGAATCTGAATTGCATGTTGTTGGGCACTTTTCTCACCTGGAGAGCAGATTAGTAGGTCATCTACATATTGTAATATTTTCCCATTAGATCCCAGGTCCAGATCTAGGAGATCCCAGCTAAGGGCCTGTCCAAACAAGTGGGGACTATCTCTGAACCCCTGAGGTAATACTGTCCAAGTCATCTGTTGGTGCTTTTCTCCTGGGGCTTCCCACTCAAAAGCAAAAAGATATTGGGATTCTTTAGCCAGTGGTATGCAAAAAAATTCATCTTTGAGATCCAAGACTGTAAACCACTTGGCACTGGGTGGGATTTCTCCCAAGATTACATAGGGATTGGGTACTGTGGGATGAAGGGGGACTACAGTTTCATTTATGATCTGGAGATCTTGAACCATTTACCAGGTTCCATCCTCTTTCTTTACTGAGAGGATTGGTGTGTTACATGGCGAACTGGTGGGGACCAATAGCCCACAAGCAAGGAACTTACTTATTAAAGGCTGTAGTCCCTCCCGAGCCTCTCTTTTGAGGGGATATTGTTTCCGGTTAGGAAACCGAGTGGGGTCTCGGAGGACAGTGATGACCAGTTCAGCTTGGTGGGCTCGTCCAGGAGTCCCCTGGTCCCATACCTGGGGGTTAATTTTGTCCTCCCATAGTCTTTGTTCTCTCTCTATTGGAGGTGTAATGGATTCCTCAGTAGTAACCAGGAGCTGTAGGGCCCTAGGGGCTGAAAAGCTTCCCATCACAAGGGTGGTCCCCAGTTTAGTGAGTATGTCTCTTCCCATTAAGGGAGTAGGACACTCAGGGACCACCAGAAACTGGTGGGAGAGTATCTGTCCATCCCAGCAACAAAGAAGTGCTTGGGTGAATCTTCTAGTAGTTGCTTTTCCTATAGCATCCAAAATGGTACCGGTTTGGGAGGAGAAGGCTCTGGAGTAGATCAGGACAGAGTAGGTAGCCCCTGTGTCAACCAAGAAATTCTTGGACCTACCTGCCACATCCAGTTGCACCCTTGGCTCCAGCCCCGTGATGGTTATCTGTGACAGGCGGGCTGGCTGGAGCAGGCCGCTTCAGTCTTCTTGAACCATCGTGAAGGAAGGTTTGGCACTTGACCTTGAGGCTCTTGGGTCCCGAGGGCAGAGTGCTGCCCAGTGTCCCAGTTGATGGCATTTGTGGCAAGCTGTTCTAGGAGGTTGTCACGGTTAGGACACTCTTTGGCCCAATGCCCCGCCTATCTACAGATTAGGCATTTGCCTCATGCCTTGTCATTCAAGGACTCGGGGTGTGCCATAGGGCTTCCCTGGAGGGCAGCCAGCATCTGGGCATGCCTTGTCTCTTTCCTTCTCTCCCTCTCCTGGGCCTTGGCCTCCTTCTCCTGTTCTCTGTTATAAAAGGTATTGGTGGCTGTCTGGATCATCTCATCTAGCGAGGCAGAAGCAGAGTCCTGCTGCTGTAGCTGTTGTAACTTAATTCTGGTATCTGATGCACATCGGGACAGGAATTTGTCCTTTAAAATCACCTGTCCTTCGTAAGAGTCTAAGTCCAAATTGGTAAACTTTTGGAGGGCCTCTTTCAGCCTTTCCAGAAAGGCAATGGGGTTCTCATTGGACTCCTGAGTTATTGCTGAGACCTGGGCATAGCAGATTACTTTTTGCTGGGCTGCTTTCAGTCCTGCCTTTATACAGATTAGAAAATGATCTCTTTCCCAGATGTGCTCAGGGTCATTATAATTCCAGTTAGGATCGGAGGAGGGGACTGCAGTTTCCCCTACTGGGTATCTATCGCTTGACATGTGAAGCCTTGTTGCATACCTCCGGGCTTCCTTTAAGACCCTAGTATGTTCAGGGTCAGATAAAGTTTGACTAAATATGACCATGGTGTCCTTCCATGTCAAGTCAAAGGCCAAGGTAATATGTTGGAACATATCTATGTATTTGCCTGGGTCATCTGTATAGCTTCCCAGGTCTTGTTTGATCTGTCTTAGTTCTAAGAGGGAGAAGGGTTTATGGACTCGGGTTGGTCCGAATTCTCCTCCAGTTTCAACTAAGGGACATACTCGAGCTGGCTTTTGTGGAGGGGGTGCTCCCGGATATGGGGGCACGCTTGGATACAAGGAAGAAGCACCAGGCAACTCGGGAGCTGTGGGAGGTGAGCCTTCATGGGGGGCTTCCTTCTCTTGGTTGCCTGTGCCTAACACCATTAGCCTAGTGGGCTCCCTGTTAGGGCGTACAACAATCCCATACTTAAGACAGAGATCCTTCATATCTCTCAGTCTGAAGAAAATTTGGACATAGGGGATCTCTGTCCATTTCCCTTGTCTTTTGCAGAATAATTCTAATTGCAGGATGGTATTGTAATATAAAGTCCCATCCTTGGGCCAGTGTTCCTCGTCCCCCAGTGAATACCGTGGCCACACAGTGGCACAAAAGAATTTTAAACAACACTTCCTCAGAGTTAGAGGATCGAACTCCTTCCAGTTGTCAAGGATGCATCTCAAGGGCATCTGCTGGGAAGTGGATTTGTTATTTCCCATCTGAAAAACAGTCATGTTAGGGAGGAAAAGGAAAAGAGAAAAAACTAATAGGCTTTTTGAAGCTTATCCTATCCAGTACTGTCGCAACCTGAGAGCCAGGAGTCCCTGGGTCAGGATGCAGATCTCCAGGCAGGCTGAGGCGTGACAGCCTCCTAGAGATCGAATCCCCGGGCAGGTCGAGGCATGACGGCCTCCTGGGACCGTTGGGACTAGCGGATCCCCGAAAGGCTGAGGAGTGACAACATTTCAAGGACCAGATCTCTAAGCAGGCCAAGGCGTGATCACCTCCTGGGACCCCCGGACTGGAGTTTGGGCATCCCCAAGATCTCCAGTGTGACCAATGCTAGGTAGGACTAAGGGGTTGGATATTATACAGTACTTCCCTCCCAAGGCCAGCTATTTTTTGGTTATCCCTCTAGAAGATTGTAGAGGCAACATTGTGGGCCTGGATGGGGCTGAGGAAAGGAGCATGAAACAGGAAGGAAGGAGGGCAGAGCACAACCTTTGGAAGAATGACATAGCACATGGGCATAACGTAAACCGATTAAAGCCAATTGGGTCCATCAGGACAAGTCAAATTCGGACAAACTTTAATCCCCAATCTGTAAACCAAAAGACACACCCAGAGGTGGCAGAACAGCCCTAAGTCACTGTCAACAGAGGGAGGAGTGGGTGGTTCCCCAATGGCTGGGATGATCCTCCCACTCATTAGCATATGAATTCGCCCCACTCGCAAAACTTAGTTAGGTCACATTCCCTGGCCGGTACCCTTTAGAATGGGCGCTTTTCTCTGAATCCTAGCAAATCCACCTCCCACTTATGGCTTTGTCCATCACTGAATTTTTGTAATAAGACCTCAGAGCCTGAGCCGGTCATCCTGGGTTTTGGTCGGGCTCAAGTCCCGGGAGAAAGAGCTGAAGGAAAAGAGGGAAAAGCAGTGGGAAAGATGTGCCAAGGAATCCCCTTCATAGCCTACTAGAAAATTTGCTAGATATCTGACCGGTGCTCACAGTTTTTATTGGCCTGATTCTTGGAACAGAGAGTAGGGACAGAAGAACCCCCACCGGCTTGGGTAACCGCTCCTGGGGCTAAGCAGATAGTGCCTTTGGGACATACTGAAGAATAGCCTCTCTAGAGTCCCTCAATTGCGCCCACTGCCGCCTGCCTGTTCGCGGGGAGTTCAAGGAAACGAGAAACGAGAGATTGTAATCGTTAGGCATGTCCTTCCAGCCGTAGGAGCGAGGACCTCCTACCTTAACCGGAGGTCTTCTGGAATCTGAGGCTGAGCCGCATAGGCTTTCTGCTGAGTTCATTTTTCGCTGAGCCGGTTTCCAGCACGACGGGCCTTCCCCTGCGCTGGGTTTTCTTCGTGTTCCGCTTCTACCGCAGGAGCTTCGGAGCTGGGCTCCTGCTGCGGTTGGCCTCTTCCGCGTGGAGGTTGTTTCAGCCAGGTTAAATCTGAGTCACGGCACCATAGATGTCCTATGTATGCTCCTCGGTTCTTTGGCTCGTCACAACAAAAATTTGGCGTGACGGACATTGACGCCCCTTGGTGGGTCACAGCTCTCGGAGGACAGACCGTGTTATAGCTCTTAAATAAATCAGTGTTACACCTCTATTTATTTAGATAATAGCAGGAAAATCCATCTTTGAGGCGTGAGGGCACGTCGACCCAAAGACGCAAAGAGAAGAGCGCCCCATCGTGCAGGAGAGAGAGAGNACAGCTCTCGGAGGACAGACCGTGTTATAGCTCTTAAATAAATCAGTGTTACACCTCTATTTATTTAGATAATAGCAGGAAAATCCATCTTTGAGGCGTGAGGGCACGTCGACCCAAAGACGCAAAGAGAAGAGCGCCCCATCGTGCAGGAGAGAGAGAGGGGAGAGAGAGAGAGAGAGAAGAGCGCTTTGGCTCCTCTTTTTATATGTTTCTTTTGTTCCCTCTGGGCCTGTCCTATGCAAATTGGGCTTAGGCAGGAGCATTGTTTTTTTACCTGAAGTTCTCACTCTGGTCCTCGGACCTTCCTTTGTTCTATTTTCTCGGGCTTTTCCCTTCCAGGTCTTTTAGCCACCGCCATTTTGGACTCCTTATCCCTATTCTAACTACCTAACAAAATAAAGAGGAGGGAACTGCTCTGGAAGTGACAGAGCAACAGATGAAAACACCCTAGTTAACATTGACTAACCATTGGAAGGGGCCTACACACTTTGAGAAGAAGGACAAGCTGGAACAAGGAATTATCTGAAACTGAACTGACTGCACACTGCCCACAAAAGCTCCAGAGGAATTCCTAGACATATTTTTACTATTATGACTTTTTAATTTTTAAGTTATTACTCCTTTAATTTTCATTTTTATAACCTACTGAAGTGAAGTCACTCAGTCGTGTCTAACTCTTTGTGACCCCACGGACTATAGCCTACCAGGCTCCTTCCTCTATGGGATTCTCCAGGCAAGAATACTGGAGTGGGTTGCCATTTCCTTCTCCAGGAGATCTTCCTGGCTCAGGGATTGAACCCAGGCCTCCTGCATTGCAGGCAGATGCTTTAACCTCTGAGGCACCAGGGAAGCCCTATAACCTACTATTACCTTCCTGGTCACCTCTATCTCCTCCTCCCTCTTCTGTTCTCCATGTAACTCTGTGAACCTCTCTCAATGTCCTTCACTGTGGAGAATTGTTTCACCATTAACCTAGATGTTTTATCATTTGTGCTGTATGGATGGAGAAGTCTTAAGGCTACTGTAAGAATAAGATTGAAAGCCAGAGGCAGGAGGCTTAACTCCAAAACTTGATAACACCAGAGAGCTCCTGATTCCAGGGAACATTAATAAACAAGAGCTCATCCAAAAGCCTCCATACCTACACTGACACTAAGCTCCACCCAAGAGCCAATAAGTTCCAGAGCAAGACATACCATGCTAATTCTCCAGCAAAGCAGGAACACAGCCCTGAGCACTAAAAGAGGGTGCCCAAAGCCATGCCAAACCCACAGTTAACTCAAAACTCACTGCTGGACTCTTCATTGCACTCCAGAGAGAAGAGATCCAGCTCCACCCACCAGAACATAGATGCACACTCCCCTAGCCAGGAAACCTTGACAAGCCACTAGTCCAACCCCACTGACAGGGAGCTAGCTCCACAATAAAGAGGAACCACAAACTTCCAGCCTACAGAAAAGCCACCTCAAATACAGCAATCTAAACAAAATAAAAAGGCAGAGAAATATTCAGCAGGTAAAGGAACATGATAAATGCCCACCAAACCAAACAAAAGAGGAGGAGATAGGGAGTCTACTTGGAAAAGAATTCAGAATAATGATAGTAAAGATGACCCAAAATCTTGAAAACAAAATGGAGTTACAGATAAATAGACTAGAGACAAGGATTGAGGAGATGCAAGGAATGTTTAACAAGGACCTAGAAGAAATAAAAAAGAGTCATCAGTAATGAATAATGCAATAACTGGGATCAAAAGAACTCTGGAGGGAAGCAACAGTAGAATAACTGAGTCAGAAGAGAGGGTAAGTGAGGTGGAAGATAGAATGGTGACAATAAATGAAGCAGAGAGAGAAAAAAAATTAAAAGAAATGAGGACAGCCTCAGAGACATCTGAGATAATGTTAAATGCCCCAACATTTTAATCATAAGAGCCCCAAAGAAGACGAGAAGAAAGGGCATGAGAAAATACTTCAGGAGATAATAGTTGAAAACTTCCCCAAAATGGGTAAGAAAATAGCCACCCAAGTCCAAAAAACTCAGAGTCCCAAACAGGATAAACCCAAGATGAAACACCCCAAGACACATATTAATCAAATTAATGAAGATCAAACACAAAGAGCAAATATTAAAAGCAACAAGGGGAAAGCAACAAATAATACACAAGGGGATTCCCATAAGGATAACAGCTGATCTTGCAATAGAAACTCTTCTATTGCAGAAGAGAATAGCAGGACATAATTATAGTGATTAAAGAGAAAAACTGACAACCCAGATTACTAAACTCAGCAAGGATCTTGTTCAAATATGAAAGAGAAAGCAAAAACTTTACAGACAAGCAAAAGCTGAGCGAATTCAGCACCACCAAACCAGCTCTTCAACAAATGCTAAAGGATCTTCTCTAGACAGGAAACTCAGAAAAGGTTTATAAACTTGAACCCCAAACAACAAAGTAAATGGCAGTGGGATCATACTTATCAGTAATTACCTTAAATGTAAATGGGTTGAATGTCCTAACCAAAAGACAAAGACTGGCTGCATGGGTACAAAAATGAGACCCCTATACATGCTGTCTACAAGAGACCCACCTCAAACCAAGGGACACATACAGACTGAAAGTGAAGGACCCGAAAAAGATATTTCATGCAAATGGATACCAAAAGAAGGCAGGAGTAGCAATACTCATATCAGATAAAATAGACTTTGAAATAAAGGCCATGAAAAGAGACAAAGAAGGACACTACATAATGTTCGAAGAATCAATCCAAGATGTTCAGTTCAGTTCAGTTCAGTTCAGTCGTTCAGTCGTGTCCAACTCTTCGTGACCCCATGAACCGCAATACACCAGGCCTCTCTCCATCACTAACTCCCAGAGTCCACTCAAACCCATGTGCATTGAGTCAATGATGTCATCCAATCATCTCATCCTCTGTTGTCCCCTTCTCCTGCCCACGATCTTTCCCAGCATCAGGGTCTTTTCCAATGAGTCAGCTCTTCACATCAGGTGGCCAAAGTACTGGAGTTTCAGCTTCAACATCAGTCCTTTCAGTGAACACCCAGGACTGATCTCCTTTAGGATGGATGGGTTGGATCTCCCTGCAGTCCAGGGGACTCTCAAGAGTCTTCTCCAACACCATAGTTCAAAAACATCAATTCTTCGGTGCTCAGATTTCTTTACAGTCCAGCTCTCACATCCATACATGACCACTGGAAAAACCATAGCCTTGATTAGATGGACCTTTGTTGGCAAATAATGTCTCTTCTTTTAAAAATACTGTCTAGGTTGATCATAACTTTCCTTCCAAGGAGTAAGGGTTTTTTAAATTTCATGGCTGCAATCACCATCTGCAGTGATTTTGGAGCCCCCAAAAATAAAGTCAGCCACTGTTTCCACTGTTTCCCCATCTATCTGCCATGAAATGATGGGACTGGATGCCACAATCTTAGTTTTCTGAATGTTGGGCTATAAGCCAACATTTTCACTCTCCTCTTTCACTTTCATCAAGAGGCTCTTTAGTTGTACTTCATTTTCTGCCTTAAGGGTGGTGTCATCTGCATATCTGAGGTTATTGATATTTCTCCCGGCAATCTCGATTGCAGCTTGTGCTTCTTCTAGCCCAGCGTTTCTCATGATGTACTCTGCACATAAGTTAAATAAGCAGGGTGACAATATACAGCCTTGACGTACTCCTTTTCCTACTTGGAACCAGTCTGTTGTTCCATGTCCAGTTCTAACTGTTGCTTCCTGACCTGCGTATAGGTTTCTCAAGAGGCAGGTCAGATGGTCTGTTATGCCCAGCTCTTTCAGAATTTTCCACAGTTTTTCCACAGTTTATTGGACCATTCAATTTTATAGGCCATTTATAGTCACATTCTTATAGACCATTCTGGTATGACCTAAAACAAATCCCTTATGACTATACAGTGGAAGTGAGAAATAGATTTAAGGGACTAGATCTGATAGACAGAGTGCCTGATGAACTATGAAGGGAGGTTTGTGATATTGTACAGGAGACAGGAATCAAGACCATCCCCAAGAAAAAGAAATGCAAAAAAGCAAAATGGCTGTCTGAGGAGGCCTTACAAATAGCTGTGAAAAGACGGGAAGCAGAAAGCAAAAAAGAAAAGGAAAGATATACCCATTTGAATGCAGAGTTCCAAAGAATAGCAAGGAGAGATAAGAAAACCTTCCTCAGTGATCAATAAAAAGAAATAGAGAAAAACAATAGAATGGGAAAGACTAGAGATGTCTTCAAGAAAATTAGAGATACTAAGGGAACGTTTTGTGCAAAGATGGGCTCAATAAAGGGCAGAAATTGTAGGGACCTAACAGAAGCAGAAGATATTAAGAAGAGGTGGCAAGAATACACAGAACTGTACAAAAAAGATCTTCATGACCCAGATAATCACAATGGTGTGATTACTCACCTAGAACCAGACATCCTGGAATGTGAAGTCAAGTGGGCCTTAGGAAGCATCACTACGAACAAAGCTAGTGGAGGTGATGGAATTCCAGTTGAGCTATTTCAAATCCTNTCAATAACTCGAAAAAACAAGTGAAGAGTAACACCCCCAAGTGATCAAGCAGAAATAGCGTTTTATAACTGTATTTGCTCATGGCTGCGCCGGGTCTTCCTTTCTGCACGGGCTTTCTCTAGCTGTGGTACACCGGCTCTCATTGCAGTAGCTGTTCTTATTTCAGAGCACACGCTCTGGGGCATGTGGGCTCGGTAGTCGCAACACATGGACTCTAGAGCACAGGCTCAGTAACTGCGGCACACAGATTTAGTTGTTCCACGACATGTGGGATCTTCCCAGACCAGTGATCGGACTCGTGTTTGCTACATTGGCAGGTGGATTCTTCATCACTGAGCCCAAGGGAAGCCCAGGAATGATGTTTTATGTGATGAC